GGCTCAAGCGAGTCTCCTGCCTCACCCTCCCAAGTAGCTGGGACCACAGGCGCCCGCCACAACGCCTGGCTATTTTTTGGTTGCAGTCATCATTGTTGTTTGGCAGGCCCAGGCTGGATTCGAACCCGCCACCTTAGGTGTATGTTGCTGGCACCTTAGCTGCTTGAGCCACAGGTGCCGAGCCAGAATACAATTACTGTTCAAAGAAATGTTCTTCATTTTCATGCATTTAAATATGTAATTATCTTCACCATCAAGGAGGAGACAAATCCTAACTCATTTCCTTCTCTCATTCACCGAACCAATCCTCACTGAGTATCTATCTATGGTTGGCACTATTTTAGGAGTTGAGGATATGTTGCTTAAAAAAGACAAGATTGGTGCTGCCTCGGAGCTCACACTTTAGTGGGGGAGACTGACAACAGCCATGTAAGAAAGTGGATAAATATTATAATTTCAAACAGTCATGAGTGTCATGAAATAATTAAATTAGTCAGTGGGATACTATGATGAAGGTCACTATTACTGTGATTATGTTTTTTGTTTGTTTTGAGACACTCTCACTATGTCACCCCTGGTAGAGTACCCTGGCGTCACAGTTCATAGCAACCTCTAACTCTTGGGCTTAAGTGTCCTCTTGTCTCAGTCTTGTGAGTAGCTGGGACTACAGGTGCCCACCACAACGCCCAGCTATTTTTTGGTTGCAGTTGTCATTGTTGTTTTAGCAGGCCCAGGCTGGGTTCAAACCTGCCAGCCTTGGTGTATGTTGCTGGCACCCTAACCACTGAGTGACAGGCACCGAGCCTACTAGTGGGATTATGGAAGCCTATCTGAGACACTTGGGTAGAAATCTAGTTCTAAAAAGGAACCAGTCTGATCTTCAGAGCCAGAAGAAAAGCATTCCAGGTAAAGGCAATACCAATTGCAAGGGCCTTGAGGCAGAGAAGAACTTGGTGAATCTAAGGAACTGAGAGAAATCCTGTGGGCCTCAAATGGTGAGCTAAGGGAAGAGGGATACAATATGAGGTCCAAGAAACAGGCAGAGGCCAAATCATGGAGTGTCCTTGTAGGCTAGGTAAAGAGTTCAGATTTTATTTCAAAAGTGAAAGATATCAAAGTAGGAGTATAATGAAATCTGATGTTTGTAAAGAGCGCTCGCATTGCTTAGTAAAGAATGGCTTCCAGGGGAAAGTGTGGAGGACAGACCACTAACGACAGGAGCAGAAGCCTAGCACAGTGGTCCACTCTAAACATGGTCCATAGCAACATGAACAGAAGTCCACACATGAATTAACATTTTTCTTCTTTTTTTTTTTTTTTTGGCAACAGAGTCTTATTATGTCACCCTTGATAGAGTGCCGTGGTGTCACAGATTCTTGGGCTTAAGCGATTCTCTTGCCT